GTAAAGCGTAGGGCGCATCATAGCAATGTTACAGCAGAAGTAGGAGGCCACCTCTCAGACGTGGTCTTGGAAATAATTACAAAATCACCAGAGAATCTGTCCTGTGGAAGATAATATCAATGATCATACAAACACCACAATTTTTAATTCTTTCCAACCACATCAGAGTTATAATTCTTTCTTCATCCAAAAGTTATGTTTGTTGTCAAAAAAATATGTATCAGGTGGTAAGAGAAAAGAGAAACATTCTATTTCAACATCACTGCTCTAAAACTCGAGGAAATTCCTAATTTTTTCTGACTGCTGTATTCCAATAATGTGCGCCTCCTATGTGATCTTGAGACAGGCCAGTTCCACTCTACAGTCACTATTTAAAAGTGAGTTAAAGACAAAAGTGTTGGGATAATCTCAGTTGCCTGGCAGAAAAGTGCCCATGATCTAGAAATTCAGAGTGCAGGAAATCATTCCATTACCATGTTGCCCTAAGGATCAATGCACTCTGAAAATTGCTGTGCCCAGATGATCTGAAATAAGATACATATGTGTATATATCTATCCATATCTATATAGCCTCATTCTTTATATGTAAACAAAAGATCTCATACGATTGCAAGCCTTCTTGTCAATGTTCTCTAGGGAAACAGAACCAACAGGGAATAAAGAAGAGAGGGATAGGAAAAAGGAACAGAAGAAAGGAAAGGGGGAAGAGCTGAGAGAAGAAAACAGGAAAAGGAGAGGATCAAGAACGGAGAAGACAAAAAGGAGGGAGGAGAAAAGGTGCTATAAAATGGCAAGATTGACTTTGGCAGGTGATTCCAAACCGAGGTGTGTGAGGGACAAACATACCACATTGACAGAGATTACCTGCAGCTTTTACTGGGGGAGAAGGGAGCAAAGGGAGAGAGAGTGGGAGTACAGAGCAGCTTCATGGGAAGACACAGAGAGAAAAACAGAGAGAGACAAAAAGACAGAGAGAGACAGAGAGGCCAAGAGAGGCAAAACGCCAAAGACAGAGCAGAGAGAGAGAGAGAGAGAGAGAGAGAGAGAGAGAGAGAGAGAGAGAGAGAGAAAGA